ACCCCCGACCTGCTTCAGCAAAGCCATTACCAACAGCAGTGGAAACAAGTGTTAAGTCACCTCTAGATGAGGTACTAGGTCTTTGGTTTAATCAGGATGCTGAATATGAAGTGGCCATAACAAGCACTGACAAACATGAAGGCAGTCACCAGGATCAACCAGCATCTGCCAGGCACCTTGTGATGCGTGGCTCAGGGAAAAACGAACCAAACCCCAGGCAAGTCAGCAGGAGGGGTTTTTTCCACTGACTTGAAATGGGCGTTAGGCGAAACAATAGTGTGAAAGTCCATGATTCCTCTTTCTTGCTTGCTAGGTTGACGAGTGGAAGAGGAACAGAGAAAGAAGCACACCACCCAGTCTAGCTCTGCCATTGCATGCTCAGCTTTAAGAAGCAGCAGTTTGAATGGCCTAGATGTGCTACGTGACCTCCACCTTGGTCTAGAAAAGAGTCATTTCAAACCTCCCTCTTCTAGGTCGGTCTACTTTACACCAGCAGTCACTCACAATTCACAGAATCATAGAATGGTTTGGGATGGAAGGGACCTCAAAGATGATCTAGTTCCAATCCCCCTGCCATGGGCAGGGAAACCCTCCACTACACCAGGTTGCCCAAAGCCTCATCCAACCTGGCCTTGAACACTTCCAGGGATGGGGCAGCCACAACTTCTCTGGGCAACCTGTGCCAGTGCCTCACCACCCTCGGAGTGAAAAACTTTTTCCTTATATCCAATCTAAATCTCCCCTCTTTCAGTTTAAAGCCATTACCCCGTGTCCTGTCACTACATGTCCTTGCAAAAAGTCCCTCTCCAGCTGTCCGGTAGCCCCTTTAAGTCCTGGAAGGCTGCAATAAGATCACCCCGGAGCCTTCTCTTCTCCAGGCTGAACAGCTCCAACTCTCTCAGCCTGTCTCCATAGCAGAGGTGTTCCAGCCCTCGGATCATCTTCTTGGGCTCCTCTGGACCTGCTCCAACAGCTCCATGTCCTTGTGTTGGGGACCCCAGAGCTGAACGCAGTATTCCAGGTGGGGTCTCACGAGAGCAGAGCAGAGGGGCAGAATCCCCTCCCTCAACCTGCTGCCCATGCTTCTTTTGAAGCAGCCCAGGATACGGTTGGCTTTCTGGGCTGCCATTCAGATGATGTTTGTTCCCACGTGGCTGCCTGTCACCGTCACTTCGTGGGGAGTACGCGGTTCTGTCCAGGCAGAGCCGAGCAGAACCCACGGAGGACACTGTGGTGGCTCTGTGTCATCTCTGGCAGCCAACGTTTTGTGGCCAGGAGTTTTCCCATGCCCAGGACACAGTACTCTCTCCTTCCAGGAAAGAAGCCGTGATTAATTCAACAATCACAGCCTTTCTGAACAGACCCAGCGGGCAAGGCAGCCGAGCAATGGGCAAGTCGATTCTGGCTGCACATGAGCCACTTCCAAAGGGCTCACAAATAAACAGCATAATCAGTCTCAAAGCAAGGCATCTTCTGAGTGAAAAACTCTATTTAATTAAGCAAACATCTAAATCGTAGTAATTTTGCTGCAACTTAGGCTTTTTCTACCCTTGCTACAACAAGAAAAACAAAACCCACAATTGCATCCAGTTTCACTTGCCTTTTTTTGACAGTCTCTTGTGGCACAACAGCCTTGGCCAGCATTTCCTTGTATATTGGAGACTTTAAATAGCGGCCATAGGAGTCCTACTAGGAGAAAAAAGAGAGACTGGTAGTTATGGGCTGCAAACACTCTTATTAAAATCACCACCAAATACAGCTGCTCAGGAGCCAGAGTGGCTGGGAACCAGATAATCTCCCCAAGGAGCCCAAGGGACTTTGCATCTTTCAGGCAAATGTAGCTATTTAAACCAATACCCTTTCATCTTGGAGTAAAATTCCCAGGATTTTCCATCTGACAATAAAGCTTCCCAGGTAAGATCCAGACTAAAAGGTCTGAACTGAGCTTAGCCCAGGCCAGTGCTGTCTCACAGTCATTACAGGGTGAAGTGCTCATGTTTCAGGAGCTGAACTTTGCAGTAACTGGTGAAAATCAGTACAGTTCTGCTGCTTTCAGTGTCCATGTGCGTTAGTTGCTGCTCTAGCCCATAATGCTCCTTCCTGCTACCTGTATTTTGTATTGCTCATAACGAGGAGTTACAGGTCATTCGTGGTCACTGTGATCTAATGAAAGCCACGACATACTGCACGCTGACATCAGCCTGCAACAGTCAGACCTAAAAAGGGGTGTCCATCAACAGAACCACAGAAAAATGTGGGAAAAAATTGAGCAAAATTTGAAATGGGCCATATCTGGTTATGCTCGTGGTACAAAATTCCTGCAGTTATATCACAATTGCTACTCCCTTTCCCATTCACCGCTGAAATCCAGTTGGATACAAGCACCTCACCACGGGAATACCTGATGTGGCACCCAAAGTGGTACTAACCGATTGAAGTTAAAAGATCTGTCAAGCTCTGAATGAGCTGGTGACCAAGCTGGTATTAGAAAGTAGGACTTCCAGCAGACACCTGACCTCCACCACCCTGGGGACATGTTGCCTTAAAGGGAAGAAGAAGCAGCAAAATACCAAGGCCTGAACCAGTGCTTGCTTAAGTCAGCAATTTTGAGGGATTTTCAAACAAAGGCCACTTGAAAGTGACAGCTGATAGCATACAAAGGCACAGGAAGGCCCAGAGAACAGGAATTCCCCTAAGGCTTTGGAAACAAACAACAGACCTTTTTCATCAGCATGTAAATATGGGTCTGAGCAGCATCTAAAACATAGCGATGAGGGTGCTTGAGGCCTTTGACCGTGATGCCCATTGTTGTGCCATCGATGTTAATCCAGCGCCTTGCTCCTGGAGCCAGGAAGAGCCTGCAAGGAGGAGGAATCAACAGTGCCATTAACAACTGGAGAATTCCTGGAGATTCCTTGTCTATGTATGAAAGGAAAAGTTCCTTCAGCTCCCCACTGCAGTTTGCTGTCCTGATCTTGGGCAGTCAATCTCCTCTTCAACAGCACAACACAAAGTCACTTCCTCTTGCACTGTTAACACACAATATGAACCAAATTTTAGCCCACTGGAAGCAAAAAGGGTCTCACCACTCTCCTCGTGGCAGCCCCAAGACCTTTGTTTTTCCATACCTCTATTGAAATTATGTGCTAAAACCTAAATGTAATAGTGGAGAACAGAAAGGAAAAGTAACTATATAACAAAACAATACTTGTGCTTTCATCTTCAAAAGCTCCTTTCCTACATGGGGACATAGGACAGCCACATTTGATGACAGCTTACACAGAAAAGTCTCAGGAATGAATCATTTGGAGAATGACAATGCGTGGAAGGTGGTGATGGGACTCCTGTACAAAGTTTAAGAACTTTAAGTAGAATTATCATACTCACTTGTAAATTTCTTCTGCTTTTTCTTTGACCTTGGATTGGTCTCCATACTTGAGATCTTCACAGGCTTCCCAGAAACTCAGATTCTCTCCTGTGTAACAAGGACTCAGTCAGCAGAGAGCGAGACTGAGGAAAATACAATCCCATTTATTAACTCCTAAAGGGAATTTGTTTGACTCAGTGTGCGTTGGCCCCAATTCAATCTCTCCGATTCTTACAGCCTCCTTGAAAACCCCCTTGGGGCCAAAGGAGGAAGACAGCATTCCCCTGCTCTCTGCTCAGGGACAAACGACACCTGTAAGAGCGTGTGAATCCAGCCAGCTCCAGCTTGTCCGGGAGCAGTGCCCCCCTGCACAGGGAGTGCCCTGGGCTGTATTTTGTGTCCTGTGCCACTAGATGGTATTGCACGCACTGGCTGCACAGCCACTGCCTCCAAAGTCCCTTCTACTGCCTTTACTTGACCTTCTCACTGTCTCAGCTCACAGCACCCAGGGCAAAAGCAAGGATTCCCACCACTGCTCGGTCTCAGCTGTGCAGTGTCCTGGGCAGTGTCACTGCACAGCTGGGCAGTGTGCTGCGTGGCCTAGGCAGGGGCAAAGAGAGAGACTCCGCAGACCCACCGCTGAACTCCTTCTTCAGGAAGAGCTGGAAGTTCTGCCGACCTTTCGGGTCTCGTATCAGCTCACTGAAATTGAAGGCCCATCGCTCCACACGCATCCTGGTGGGGACTTCCACTCTGCACAGGTTGGGAACAAAAACAGCACTGCCAATTTCATGCAGCCTAATTG